CCCCGCGCTGCGTCCGCGCAGCAGAGAGCTGCGGGGCGTGCGGGGAAGGGTGTGTTCGGCCTCGCCTTCCCCGCCTCGTCGGCGGGACTGGGCAGACACGCACCTCCCGCAGGCCCCTCTCCTCGCTGCCGTTCTGGCGGCTGCAGACCACCCCCGCGGTATTTATCCACGCGAGGCGCGCCTCCTCGCAGCCCGCGAGCCCAGACGTGGCAGTCCCCGTCCCGTAGGCCGCGTCTGCCCGGAGTACAAAAGGCAGCACCTCGCAGCCTCGCCGGCATCTTGGAGGAGCTCCGCTGTCCTTGTCGCTGTGGGTAGACTGTGGACTGGGGTTGGGGAAAGGGTCTGTGCTGGCGAGGTTCTGGATTGGGTGAGGCCCTGCAAGGCCTGTGACATCCTATAAGGCGTCAAGCTTAGGTAGCACGTAGAAGCAGTGAAGAAGACAAAAAGTTTTTCGGCATTTCTAGAATTTAAGGGAAGAAGGCAAAACGAGCGTTTGTTTTGATGGTTTGTACCTTACTGTGAGCCAGGCGCAGATTTAGCTGTCCTCACACCGGGTTTTCTTGCTTCGCGTAGCCCTTGGTGATAAGTAAAGTTATCTCCATTTTACAAGTGAGGAAACTGAGGCTTGAAGTTGTGATGTGACTGGTTAATGATGGTACCGACATACTGGCTTCTCCCCACACTTGCCCCCACACTGCTACACTCAAGTTAGGCTGGTGTTACAGGCGTGACCATTTAAAATGTACCTGCAGCTTAATTCTTTTCCTGTGTTTGCATTGGATGACAACTGACGACTCCTTTATAACTGAAAGTCTGTAGTGTCAGCTGCTCCGCTGCCCAGTCCTCCTGCTCACAACCCCAGAGAGATGGCAAGGTTTTCATTTTATATTGGAAGAAGAAACTGGGGTTCCCAGAAGGCAAGTGCTTTTCTGCTGGTCCCACACAAGTGTCAGAGCCCACTTGAACCCTTGTAAAGTTTACTGTCACAATTGTCTTTTATTTATATGTGGTTATTGAAGACAGACTTGACCTTGCAGTAATCCAGCTCCCACTCCCTCTTCCCTCAGCACTTTACTAAATTTTTCTTCAGAGTTCTGCTTGGGTCCTTTAATTTGTTCATGCCCTGAGGCATGTAGTGGTTAAGAGTTTTGGAGGGTTCCTACTCCAATACTGCCACTTTCTAGTTGAGTGACCTTAAGCAAGTTACTTAGCCTCTCAGAGTCAGAGACCTTATCTTTACAGGGAATAATTGTACCTGCATTTTAGAGTTGTTTTCAGGATTAAATGGGATTAAAAAACCCTTAACACGTTGCTTAGCATATAGTTAAGTGCCTCATTGTCTGTAACAGTGCCAGGCATGTAGTGGATGTTTAATATTTGTTGACTGAAGAGAGGAGCATGGCTTCAGAGAGTTGTACAGTTAGACCTGGGCCTTATTAATCTTTTTCCCTTTGGTAGTGTATGACTGCGGATATATCAGCTCTCTGAGTTGGTTTCCTTACCTTTAAAATGAGTTTTTACGGTTAGAGATTGTTTATAAAGTAGCTGGCATATGTGTCAGTTATTGTAAAGATGTAAGACTCCTTTAGATTCTAATAACCTAAAAATTCCTTGAAATTAAAGCTACATTTTAAAAAGTTTTTGCTTTTTGTATTTCATGTTAAACTTTATTGTGGCATACTTCAACTGTGCAACAGAATTTGGAGTGTTCTTAAAACTAATCTTTATCAGTATTAAATATCTTTGCATAATCTTAGTAAGCTTTTGGTTAAGGCAAATATGTTAAAATAGTTTGTTTCTTTTAAAGCTTGAAACATTTTTGTGTGGTTAAAAATGCCAGGCATGGTTGGAGACAGCAGTGTACAAATAGAGGTATCAAAGATACTGTACTTTTAAAAAAATTTTATGTTCTAGATAGTTTTAAACATATACAAAATATATGTGGTATAATGAGCCTTCACATACTCATCAGCCAGTGTCAACAGTGATCAGTCTTGTTTATCTATACACACCTATACCCTCTCCACCAAATTATTTTAAAGCAAATTTCAGACATGATATTTCATCAGTAAAATTTTTGCTATTACTAATCCTTTTAATTCTGGGAGTAAGTACAGGGTTTTGGTGTTTTGTTTTTTTCCTTTAAGTACTTTCACTCTATGAACAGAGGTGAAGTATTGGAGTACTTCTTTTTCATAGCATACCATCATAACTGGGAAATTTTGTGTTTTTCTTGACACAGTAAGGAATCCAGTTCTTATTATGTAAAAGTGTGACATTAAATTTCTTGTCAAAAGTGAGTTTTTTAAAGGGGGTGTCAGAAATGGGTGGGTCTTTTCAGAGGTTGCATTACTGCTGAGGAAAGGAAATTGACCACACATTTGATTAGATTATATTATTAGAATAACTACCCAAGTTTTGTGTCCACTTGACTGACAAATCAAGTAGCAATCCACATTAGAGAGCTTGTAAGCAAATCAAACGGTTTCTGTTTTTAAGTTTCATGAAGACAGGAACAATGTTTTTTGTTTTTTGTTTTTTTTTTTTTTTGATCATTACTATATTGTCAAAGCCTAGCCCAAGGCTTTGTGCTTATTAGTAAATGCTCAACAAATATTTTTGTATTGGAATCACAGAAGCAATCTATCTTGATTGTGGTGTTTATAACAAAATGTCTTGTATGTAACAAAAACAAAACCAAGCTTACTAATTTTAACAGTGAAGATCAGATTTTAAATCACCTGGAATATTTTGTGGGTTGTTTTTGTCTTGTGTTGTCTTGAATAAGTTATGTAAAAATTACATGGTAACATCATATGTCCTAAGGAGTAGAGTAAAATAGCTGTAAAACAGTTGTGAAAGGATTAGTCAGACATAGTGCATAAGTTAACACAGTAAAAAGCCAAGCTATTAAAAAAAAAAAAGGAAAAAAATACTGTCAATTATTGGAGTGTTTTTTGAGGCTGATCATATGATTGACTTCATGTGATGTTCCCCATATTACTGTAAATGTGGAAGTAATGTTGGAAGTATTATGAATGGGAATTTTGGGGGTTTTTTAATTCTTGTTTTTTAATATTTGTTTATTGTAGAGAGAGTGAGCGTGCACACGCGAGCTGGGGGAGGGCCAGAGGGAGAGGGAGAGAGAATCCTCAAGCAGATTCCCTATTGAGCGTGGAGCCCCACGGGGGGCTCCATCCCAGGACCCTGAGATCATGACCTGAGCTGAAATCCATAGTCAACTGCTTAACCGACTGAGCCACCCAGGCGCTGCTTGTTTTTGTTTTTTTTTTTAATTTGTTTTGTATTAGAATTATATATAAAAATGCTTTAAAGATATTTCACAGTTCTTTATTTTCTCTACTTTGAATACTTTAGAAAATTAGCAATGAATATAGTATATGCTTATACTGTTAGTGCAGGGTTATATAAAGTAAGTCAATAATTTTTTCCTATCCTTTTTCTGCTCTCAGTCCATGTATTCATTTTTCACAATTTGGTGTGTCTCCTTCCATATTATCTGTATACAGGATTGAGAGAGAGAGCGTGTATATGTGTGTATGTATTTAAAAATCGGAGAAGCTATCGCATAAAATTCTGTCAACTTTTTTTCACTTAAAATCATGGATACATTTTCAGGTTAATACATCTATATCTAAATGGTTTTAAACTAGATGCGTATTATTTCATAATACAGATGTACTTTATTCAGTCATTTCCCTGTTGATAGTATAGATCAATTGTTTTCCAGTTTTGGTTTTTTGTGGGTTTTTTTTTTTTTTGCTGTAAAAATGCTATATTAGATGCACTTAGACCTGTAACGTTATGGATTAAAGATTTTGTATCTTTGGGCTACTTCTTAGTCAAAGGGTGATTTGGATTATCTTTAAGATTTTAAAATACATTCTTTACTTCCCAAAAATGTGGCAATTCAGATTCCCATAAGCAGAGTGTATGAAAGTTCCTTAACCTTCACCTCTATCTGCACATTTCAAATCCAGTCATTTATATGTCTGTATAATTTTATTTGGAGAGGTGTCTGATAAACTATATGGAGACCATGCGATTTTATTTTTGGGGCAAAAATGATTAGCATTTAATATGCATTTAGTAACCACGTAGAGCTCTGTGTATGGACCTGGAAATAGGTCCATCATTTTGTTAAGTGAAAAACACACTGCAGAGTTTTACGTAGTAGCACACCCCATTTTTAAATATATTCCTTACCTTAATGGTGATGTGTTTCTTGTGCTTAAGAGTTACTGTTAATGTTGAAAAATCCTTTGTTAAAGCAATATTAGGTATAGTTAATATTTAAAGGGGCAACGCAACAATCA